TTACAGCAGAAAGAAATGGGCTGCCTTCAACTACCACTCCCTGATGTTCACCAACGAAAGCTATGGAAGATGATAATCTCATTTTTTTTCCCCTTTGCAAGGTTTTCATCAACCAGTACAAATTCTGCTCTGTTCTTTCAACCAGTGTCACAGAACCTGGCTCAGTACTGGTTATCACCATGATCCAAGCAACAGCAAAACAGTCACTCAAACATACCTAGTGCTCAGTGCTGGGTAAAGTTCACAGCAGCTGTCTGAGTCCCAGAAAGACATCTGAGAGAAGCGCCATAAATAACGACATCACATGGAGTCTCCCATTGCACAACCCACATACATCTTCCCTGCTCAGGAATTCACGCCTTGCACCCTTCGCTGTCAGTCAAGAGCATATTACAAACCATGTTTCCAAGATGATCCAGAGGATATTTTGGAAAGTAATACAGCCCTCCAGTTGGCTGAGTCTTTTCAAAATACCTGTTCTACTCCATTACGAAAATGACAAATGTTGCTACCATCTTATCAAACCATGGTCTTTCTCAGGAGCAAGCTGTAGATCCACCTGTGCATTTTATACATCATGGATGTCCAAAACCAGTTCCAGCAAGTCTGACAGCCTGGCAGAAAACGAAGGGGACAACTCCTTTGCAGACTCAGCATCTAAGTTCTTCTTCAGGTAGCAAATGTGAAGTATTTTCTCAGACTACAGTTTCAGTAAACCCCAAATCTGAACAGCCCCTTTTCAAGATTAATTTATTTCACTGCTAGATTAAAATTAAACCAAATTCTCTTAAAATACCTCATTCCTAGGCATTTGCAAGGAGAGAATCACTTTTTGAAGCAGTGCCTAGATATAATTTTATAAAAATGAGACTTTTTTTCCTGGAGTTTTGCCACAAATTGCCTTTGAGGGCTTGGTTCAGAAATTCCAAAGTTAGTTTATTGTTTTTCATATTGAGAACTAATTCCTTTTAGCAATTCTGTTAATCTTGGAGTTTGAAGTTATTTTTATTAAAGTAACGCCCAGAGTTTATATATTCCATAAAAAGATCAGGAATTATTTTTATTAAAGTAACACCCAAAGCTTAGGCATTCCTTTCAAAAATAAGGCAAAGCACCTTCATTCTTAAAAAGGTTCTTAGTCTTTTCAATGCAAACACAAATTTCACAAGGACAGCTGAGCACTGCAAAGTTTTATCAGCAATTTTTTATCAGAGACTTGAGGAAAAAAGTAATTAAGGCAGGATTTTTCTATTTTTCGGCCTAAAAAAATCATGAGCCTTTTGCTCCAAATAGTACATGTGCCTTTTTTTTCTTTCCTCCCTTCTTGCCTTCTGTTACAGAAGAAGCAGCACCAGTTTCCACTCCCTGATGTCAGATTTCTCATGAGACATTTGTGCTGGCTCGGGGCTGCTCTGCCAGCAGTCAGTACCTCTGGCCATCCTCTGTACCTCTCCCTCAGCCAGCAGGGAGGCTCCTCGACCCAGGCAATGCCAGCTTCTGGTGGAGCTTGTTAGATTACAAAAATCTGGATCATAGCCCTTAACTCTTATGCCACAACAGATGCGGGGCTGCAAAGTGAAGGCTCTTACCTCCGTTCTCGAGGGCCTGAGGCACTGAAACCTTCTGCTCCTCAGCGGCACCCCTGTCTCAAGGACAAGACCAAGTGCTGCCTTTTGTTTGCATGACTACGTTAATAAACAACACCCAGGCTCCTCACCATGACTAAAGCACAGTTTAATTGTTTGGAGGGGAAAGGGAACGCCTTTTGATCACTGCTTCTGATCTGGAGCATAAGCAACCATGACTGAAGACTCCCCTTTGTCAGCAAGCCTCCTCCAATTGCTGTTGCACTTTAGGCATAACAGGCCGAAGACATCATGGATTTAATAACACATTTTCTAACAATGCGCTGCTTCCTTGTTGAAGAAGGCACGCAATGACAATTTTCAATTTCTTTAATGCAGAAATTAGGGCTGGGACAAAATCTTTTCAATTCCTCCAAAAGAGATGTTAAGTTGCAACATCCCCACCTTGCTCCCTGCAGCGTGTGTAATTTCAGCTTGCTCAATAGCATGGGCACTCCTGAGTTCAGGAAGACTTTAAAAGGAGCGATTAAAGCTCACGGAAGTAAGCTAACATGAATAAACTGCCCAGGCAACAGGAAAACATTCCAGAGCCCTGTGCTGTCACCAGGCTTTTGGCCAATGCTGCTTAATCATATATGCAAAACATAAATTACAGAAAGATTCATCACTGGTTAGAATATTCATAATTAGTAATTTTGCATTGCACTGAAGAAGCTTCCCTGCAAACTGTCCTCAGACAAAAGCACTGCGATCTTCTCTCCATTCTCAGAGCTTCTACCAGCATCATTAGTACTAGTGGTACAGCAAAGGCTTCCTCTGTGGGTCTTCTCAATGGGTCAGGCAGTTTTGGAAGGAAAGTTTGAGAGCAAGTTTAGGACCAATCACACATCACTCTGCTGAAATTACTAAATCCTGTGGCTGGCTATAAGGCATCATGGCAGCTGCTGCAAGACACATTCTCATCTGGGCTCGGCTTGCACATACCAGTTCATACTATCCGGGCATGTAACAATGGACTGAAACTTGAAATGCTCATGGCACAGGGGAGGAAATTTTCACTACTAGGCCTTCAGAGTTTACTACGTCCTCTTTAAACACAGACATACTCATAGGTTAAATATTTAAGACCCTCTTGAGCCTTGTCACAGAACTTATAGAGCTGTATCAAAATCCTTTGATGTGTGCAGTGCTGAGTAAAAAACCTAGCCAGCCACATTTTGGGTTACAAGGAGAGAGATGACTTTTCCACCACTTAACAGAAGATTATAGTTTTCACATAAGATTATAGAGGTATGGTTGTAATGCCATCTGAAGAATGCGTTTACAAAGATCTGACATTCAGCAGCTCACATGGAGACAACAGAGTGGTCAGATTCTCAAAAACTTTGGAGTTATAATTGAGAGCAACTTGTTAATGATTTTCTGCAGTATCTTACAGATGTAAAGTTTTAACTGTTTTGAAAGCCTTTCCTCACATGCTTCACGTGATCAGACACCACACAATCTACACAGCATAATAGCTTTTTAAACAGTATTGGGTAAGCTAGAAACAGTTCCCTCTGTACAGCATTCTCAAAAATAAATGTAACTGAAGATAACTTTGGCCCAATTTTTGTTAGGTCATAACTTTCCCCATCCAGTACATCCAAAGTTCTGCATTAACTAAGTTACATGAGAGTCTGAGAATCTGCTCCTGTGCATGCCTATAAGCCTGACTACTAAAAATGGATGCGTAAAAAAATCTATTGTCTCTCTACCCTATCTGCCTTTGCTTTTTTGGAATCATGAATTAACAGGTAAAAATCAGTGCAGATATTTGAAGTAAAATTTCAAAAGCTGACTACACCTTCTGTCCCAACACATACTTGTACTGTACAGCTGAAAACATAAACCCCCCTGCAGAACAGGGTGTAGTTTCACCGGGACAGAACTCCCGTGGCTGCACTTGCCGGGAAAACAAACACGCTGCCCTTCGCTCATGGCTCAAGCAGCACACTTCGAACACCCTAGCACAGGCAAAAGGCACGGGCCCTAGAAAACCTTTTGCTTTTGCTACTTCTCCTTACAAGCCTTTTGTTCTGGACAAGTAAGTCTGAGATGCTCCTGCCACCGCCCCAGGTCCATGAATACAAACGAAGCCGCACGCTGCTCCAGATTTCGAAACCCTTCACGTTGCTTTCAGCTGAGCTGAGAGGCAAACCGTGAACTGATTATCTGCAGCTCGAAAGGCGGCTGTGCCGGGAAAGCGGCAGGGCGCGGGTTCATTCTCCGCCACGCCGCTCCACTGAAGCGAGCGGAGCCGCACCGGGGCTGCGGCGGGCAGCGGCGCCGGCCGAGATGCGCCATTGGGAAGGCTCCGTTTCCTGACTGCCCGCCGGGTGGGCAGGGCCGGTGGGAAAGAGGGAGGGCTCAGCTGTCCGGACCGCCACGAGCCCCCGTGCCGGGACATCGCCGCGGCGCGAACCCGGGCACGGGACACGCGGGGAGCGCTCCCGCGGAGGACGGCCGTGCCGGCCCGGCGGCGGCACCAAGCCCTCCCGCGGGAATGGAGCCGGACTCGGACACCCCTTCCCCGCCCCCGACCGTGCTTTCTCCTCGGGTGGCCCCTTCCCGCCTCGCCACGGCCCCCGGCGAGGCGCCCTTGCCCTCCCCTCGGCGCGGACGGGCGCGGGGGGCGGCGGGGGCTCGGGCGGCGCGGCCCCACTCACCGCCCGGCGGGCGCCTCCGGCCTCCGAGCAGCAGCAGCGGCGGTGGCGGCGGCAGCGGCAGCAGCGGGAGCCGGCGCGTCCCGGAGACGGAAGCGCGGGAGGAAGTGAGGTCGCGCCAAGGGGAAACGGCGGGGTTTCCGGGAGGTGGAGGGGGATGCGGACCGGAGATTTCCCCTGCGCCCGGGGAGCTCTGCTGGGCGTGGATCTCTGTGTCTCGTAAACCCCGCGGGGTGACGGGGACGCGCTGCGGAGCGGGGCCATCACAGGGGCACAGTAACGTGGGGAGGACACGGCTCCGGCCGCCCCGGGGCTCCGCGCCCGCCAGCCCTCGGCCCCGCGCAGCGACCCCGCTGTTCCGCGGTTCCTTACAGCAAGGAAGCTGTCACAGGGAGCCACCCTTCACCCAAAGGAGCCATGGGGCAAACCTTGTGCCACTGTCAGTTTTCCCGGGTCACGTTTTACAGTCCCTACAGACACTGATGTACAGATCACTTCAATATAGTAAAATTTTGGTGCTCAAAGCCAAGTTTCTTAATATCCAAATGTAACCGCAGTGGTGCTAAACACTGCTCCAGGGCTTAATAGATTTCAGAGCAAAACAGGTGAGAACCTCTGGACATAAACACCCAGCACTGTGCTGGCTGTTCATCATTCGGCCAACTCACCTTGTGTAACCTTCGGAATTACAGCATGATACATCTTCAAATAGTTTTCATGATTAGATGCTTTTATTAAAAAGTAATTTCTGCAGAATCCTTTCAACTAATTGATTTTGAGATTTACCTAGAAAGAAAAAGTAACTGCAGTGTGAAGTCTCTTTTGGACAAGCTATGACCTGCTTATACCGATTTTTACAGACAGACCCATTCTTTACAGCAATTTGAGTAAATTAAGCTAACCACCTTTGCTATTAACATTAGAGTAGTGGCTTTAAGTGTCTTCTGGATGTGTAGTTCACTGTGTACGTCTCAAAGTTTCTCCAGGAAAGGTTCACAGTATTGCATACAGAACTCCCAAATAAACAGAGAGAACTTTTCCGCACTACCACCTGACACTCTGGGCTCTCAAAGCTTCACCTTCACCAGGCAGTATGGCCACAGTGCCTTCAGTCACACTTGCTGACTGTATTCAGCAAATTCAACAACCATCACCAAGGAACACAAGGCTTTCCAGGCAGACGGGTACTGCCTCACTTTCTCCAGGGTGCTGTTGCCAGAGAAGGTAGGAGCTGATTTCCAAGGTGCTAGCAGAGAGAAATAGTTTCAGACAGTGCTAAGGCTGCTCTTCCCTGCCCTCATGTTCCTCTGAGCAGGTCTGCCCTGTGCTGGGTACTTTCATGCTGAATGTTCCAGTGGGCACTCGCTTTACCGCACGAGGGCTCAGAGAAAAGCTACTAAGAACAAACTTTTAGGGACAGTCCCCTCCCTTTCCCCCTTGCCTTCAGCTATGTGTCAATTAAAAAGCATTGAAAATAGCTCCACATTGACTCTTAAAATCAGCACTGGATATATGTCCTGAGTTCCTACACAACTGTGGGCTTCATTCCACTGAGAGCTGTACGCTTTCAGTCTGTTTTGGTGGCTGCTGCTGCTGCTGTTCATACTTCCTTGCTGAAAAAAAGAAACACCAATCAACACTGATTATACAATTTATTTTATATTATTATTACTATTATTGTATTATTTATTACATACATGTATATATATGTACATATGTATGTTTATATATATTCATGTAACTATGACAACAAGAAACAGATGTAACATCAGAGAACCTCATTTCCCCCACACAAGGGGAAGTTTCAGTCACCATGTGGAACTTCACCTTATAAATGCTGAACAGTAGAGTCATAGCAAAATGTCAGTGAATCAATGGCAGAGAACTATGATTCCATTCGGGTCCTTTTATTAAAATAAAAAAAAATAAAATTAAAGGCTATGGCTTCAGAAGTTTTATTGCTGATGACGTGAACAGCTCAACAGTCACAAGGCTGATGTCCACATTTCTCATCTCCTACACAATATACATCCACAAGCTAACAATTACACTGACTTCAAAATTAATCTGGTTAGCAAGGCAAAGGGAGATCAAAGAGCTGTGTGCAGTGGTACAAACACCATCAGCAAATGCCAGCAGGCATTCCACTGTAGGAAGAACATCCAATTTTGTTCCTACAGAATGCAATGGCCTGATGTAAGAATCTTTACATCAAGTTTTTGCATTTAAAAGGTGGTTTCAGATCACTAAGGGTTTTTTGCTGTATTTCCTCCAGGCATACACAAAAGGCAGGTGTGAAGCAAGGTTGTGTTTCTCTGAATTGGACCACTGGAATATTACAGGCTTGGGGCTCTTTCCTGCCTCCATCCTGACCTTTAGCACTGAGATCCGAGCAGCAACACTTGTTGGTACAGTAAAATTCTAATTAATTTTCAATTTATGTGGTTGTCTTACTCATCATTCCACAGTCCTCTCAACTTTTACAAGTCCGCCCACATTTTCACAACATCCAGACCTTCCTAGCTCTTTCAAAGTGTAACATAGGAATCGTTTTGACATTTGCTTTAGGACGATTGCACAGCCGCTCCCTCGCTCCGCACTTCCTCACGCAGCAGTCCCCCGGCCCCGGCAGCTGCCGAGCCCCCGCTCCTCACAGGGCGCCACAGCACCGGGGGCGTTCCCGCTGCGCCAGCCTCCAGGCCGCCCCTTTAGGCACGGCCCCCAGCAGCCCTCACGGGGATCCCCGTTTCCCTCCGACTTACCGATGGAGTACATCTCCAGCTGCTGCCGCAGGCGGATCTTCTTCATGCTGTCGTAGAAGTTGGGCTCGGGCGGCGTCTCGGCGGCCGGGGGCAGGGTGAAGATGCGCATGATCCTCCTCTTGTTCCTGCGAGCAGGAGGGAGGGGGGCACGGCGGTGAGGGCGCGGCGCTGAGGGCGGGCGCCCCTCCACCTGCGGGCCCCGCGGGAGCCCCCGCCCCGCCCCGCCCGGGCCGCCTCTCACCGCCGCGCGTAGACGAGGAGGGCGAGGCTGGCCAGCACCACCAGCAGGTACACGTTGGTGGCCTCGTTCCACGCCTCGTGCACCGAGTAGTCGATGGCGCCGCCGTCGCCCAGCGCCGCCGAAGCGCCGCCGCCGCCCGCCCCGCCAGCCCCCGCCGCTGCTGCCGCCGCCGCCATGGGGAGCGCGGCCGGCAGGGGCCAACCCGGCCCCGGGAAGTGACGTCAGGGCGGTGCCGGGCGCCATGGCGGGGGGGCGCGGAGGGGCGGCGGGGGCCGTGATTAGCGCTGACAATAAACTGTGCCGGGGAACGCTAATGCCGCTGTTAGCCAAAGTGTATACGCAGGAAAAAATTGTGATAGTCGGCGCGCCGGGCTTGTGGGACCCCACCCAGCACCTGGGCTTGTGCACTGTGAAATTAATCAGAGAATCGGTGAGGTTGGAAAAGAGCTCTGAGGCCATCGAGTCGAACCCGTGAGCGAACACCACCTTGTCAAGCAGACCATGGCACCGAGTGCCACATCCAGCCTCTCCTTAAACACCTCGGGGAGGGTGACTCTGCTACCTCCCTGCGCAGCCCATTCCAGTGTCAAATCACCCTTCCTGTGAAGAAATTCCTCCTAATGTCCAACCTAAACCTCTGCTGGCGCAACTTAAAACCACGCCCTGTCACTTGTCACCATGGTGAAAAGGCCGACCCTCACCCGGGTACAGGCTCCTTTCAGGGAGCTGTAGAGAGAATAAGCGATTTCTCTTTCAGGTGTGTAATTACTGGCTTGTTGCACGCCGGGTAAGAAATCAAATTTTTCTGGACTGTCCCTGAGGCTCTGGGGTGCCTTTCCACACTTTCTTTCTTTTCTTTCATCCCACATCTCCAGGTACCAGACCCTTGGGGAGAGGACATGCACAGGGGACTGCTTCTCTCCCAGGGGCACCGGAGGTATAACAAGAAAAGTCCCTTGGCTTTGCCGTGCCAGTGTCCAAGGGAAAGGCATAGCTGGATGTGGGGCCAGGAGACGTGGATTCAGCAGCTCCAGGAGCCTGGCAGACAAGGAGTCAGCTGGCAGGGCTGGTGTTTTTTCAGTGGAATTGTGTGGAATGCAGTGCGTGGTGTCAAAAATAAAGAAGAGGTTCAGATTGTCATGAGCTCTTGCTTTTCACATAGGAACTAAATGTGACAGTTTATATTTGTCAAAATAGAAAAACTCCCATTGCCAAAAATGACAATTCTAGGATTATGCTTTGGCAGAGTAAGTGTTTCAGCTCAGAACCTGGAAAAGTTTTCTGAACTGCTTACTGAGATGCAGGTAAACTAGGCTGCTCTAACACTCACACACACAAACTTTTTCCCTAATGCCTGATGTGAAATGCTTGAGCTACATGACAGCTTAGGCATGCTTTTCGCTAGGGCCTTTTGCTTCTTTCTATCTATCTCTGCCTCTGATACTTCCTTTTGCCATAGCTTCCTTCAGATACTAGAACTGTTACAATTTAGACATCAGTGATATGGTCCATGTCCCTCTGCTCAGCATGTGTTTGGGGTATGTGCTTGTGTTATGGTTATCCATCTTCACCCTTTATAAGACAATAAAGGGGGAAAACTCAAGTATTTCTAGGGTGTGATTTATTTAACCTGTGTCAAACATTCAGAATCATGCCTCCTGTGCCTGGGAAATCTCTGATGCCTTACTGAGTGCAAGGAGTCTAGACACCTCATTTGGATGGCACTTGCTTTGCAGATGTCTAATCAGCCTGAGGAAAATCTGTCCTTTGGGGAGCTGTGTTCTCACTGTGAGATGTTCCAAGTTTTTCTCTTTCCATGGTATGGAACAGATTCATTTTAAGAAGCCTTAGATCAGCACATAAAAGAATATGAGTGAAAATGACAATATAAAAAAAAAACAACCTAAGGCATTGATGTCATGAGAAAAGTTCCTTGCCCCACATGGTGTGGGAAAGGAGGACAGAATAGTAATTAGACATAATTCTAGGTCATTAAATTGGGATGGCACCCATGCACAGAACTGTGGAAACCAGTGAGAGAAATTTTTTAAAAAGTCACTTATGCAACACGACAAAAGACACTTAATTAAGCATGGTTTCAGAGGGATTTTAAGCAGTTTCCTGTGAAGTTGAGGCTTTTTGTTTGCTGTTCTAGTATGTTGAACTTCTCTGCTAACAAGCCGGGCAAAAGCGTCACACACATTTGAAGAAAAGTGGAAAGAACAAATGTAAGTAACTTTGGTGCTCTTTGTAGTGCATTATACTGTCTGTAGACCTCAGCTGAGATCAGGCTCCCTTGGATGGGGAGGCAAGAAGCTGTATTTAAGCTGTAACTAAAGGCACTGTTTGTATTAACCCTGCAGCTCTCTCTGGACAATCTGGGAAGGAAGTGGGACACCCCAGGACTCTGCCCACAGCCTCCCATGCAGAGGGAACCAAGGCCTGCATCCACAGAGCATGAGCTCAGGTCCTGGCATCTCCTCTGCAGCCTCCAGCACACAGAAACAGACTGCCTCGCTCAGCATTGCCCAGTTCATTTGATTTAATGAAATGCTTGATTTCTGACTTTGATTATACACCTGCCCCCAACCTAAAAGACAGGCAGAGACAGATTTTCTGCTTCCACATACCCCTCTGAATTTAGTAAATGTGAATCAATGGATAGGACAGGGTTAGATTGAGGAGCACAACAGCTGGTGCTGCCCTGAGTGTGACAGCCTTGCAAACCTGAGGAAAAGGGGGGATCTTCCCCCTATTTGACTGTAGAAATAGGAGTTCTGGGGGTGCAGGCTTTCTGCATGACTTCCTTGAAGAATCTGCCCCAAACAGCAAAAGACTCTTAGACCTACAAGTTAGCTTGCCTGGTACACTGTTATTTCCTTTTAGATCTTGGGCTTTTGTTTCAGTCTTGGGCTCCTAAAGCACGTTCAGAAGTGGGAATGCAAGCTGCTCTTGAATTCAGTCACAGCCCAGTCAGTCCTTGCAGTTGCAATTTTGTGTGAGAAGTTGTGTTACCTGTCCATGTAGGTTAGGCAGTACATTTATTTGTGCCTTGGATGAGGCAGGATGGGATGACCAATAATTGTGCATGCTGTTCATGCATGAGGACAAAAGTTGTTTTATATTTTCTCGTACAAAAGCTGCATGTAGGGAAAGGACTGTCAGTTTGTGCTGTGCCTTTATAGCATCTGACCTGCAGGATCCTGGCCCACGACCAAAGCCTGTAGGCACCAAACTGATAATATGTAATGATAATATATGGCACTGGCAAAAGCTAAACATAGTTAATGGAGACCCAAGCTTAGTGGCCAGATTTCCAACATTACAGGAAAACAAGCCTGAAGGGTTTCAGTTTTAGTTAGACACAGCACCCTACTCTCCCTCCATACTAGGAATGAGCTCTTAGGGAGAAAAACACATAAAAATCACAACTTTTATGGAGACTATGTTCATTCCATGAAGAAATCCAGAATGTACTTGATACAAGTACTCACTTCAGTCTCATAGATTTATCAAGAGAATTGCTGAAAAGGGTCTTCCAGCTTTACAGGGAAAAAATTCACTTTCCAAAAGTCATTAGCAACTACTAGAAATTTGACTGAGAGCCACTGAATATTACCAGTTTTGAAAATCCGGTTACTGCATATCCAAAATGTGAATGCTGAAACAGTGAGCTTGGTCTTTTAAAAATTATAGCCAAAGAATATGTGTGTGTGTGTGTCTATATATAAATACATCTTTTTAAATGCATTTTGAGTTACCCAGAGCTAAACAGAATCAAAAATTGCTGATATGTAAATATCACTGTAATGTAAATATATTCACCATTTAATCCTGATAAATACTGGATTGTAGACTTCTGAACAGAGACTGACAATTATTGGAAACCTTGTGGTCATCTCAAGTATACAGTGCCTCAATTAAAATAAAACCACAAAATCCTTTTCCTTTTTTAAAAGTACCCTGTAGCATATAATTTATTTGGTTGGACTCTACAAATATACAATTATATCATGCCAGAAGAACTTGAGAACCACTTTTTTCTTGTTCCCAGGGTCTCTTGACTGTTGGTAAGACGTTACAGTCATAATGATAGAATCGGTTTACAGTTGCATATTCTGCCAAATAGCTCACAAATTATATTTGGCAAACAACACTGCCTCTGTTTCACAAAGATAATGATCTGATGTTTTGTTTATGTGGAAAGGAAAATATTATTTAAGAGATTGTGACAGAATTTAAAAAAACTTTGTGCGGTATTCTCAACATGTGATACATTTAAAAGTTACCACTCTATTAAATACAGAGTAACACAGATTTTCAACTGATCCTTCAAAAAAAAAAAAAAAATCAAACAAATGTTCAATTAAATACATTGTGTCCATTTTATTTCCTCCGTATTTACCCAGACCTACACAACAGCTGGTGCAGATATTCGTGCACTACTTTTTATGTCTGATGGTGTCAAACATACAAACGAGTTGCCATGTAGGCTGCTCACCTGTAGAGGATTTAGTGTTACAGGAGTGCTTTCAAGATGGATTCTGAAATCCATAGTGCAAAATGGGAAATGCTCCATCAGACTTGACCCCCCAGAAGCGTGCAGCCAGCAGGCAATCTGGAAAGGAAATCAGCATAACCTTGACACTGCTATTCTTTGGATGGCTCTGAAGAGAAAATGAAAGGAGCAGTGGGTTTGAACTGAATCTGGGACTCTGGTCTGACACAGAGACCTCTGAGGTGGTTTCCATTCTATAACCTGCAGTACAAACCTGCCTGGGAAAAGCTAAACTCTAAGAAATCCACTGGGAATTTGTTTTGGCAACAGCATTGGGCCAAGGATAGAGCGCCCACAGCAGTAGTGGGCCCTGACTCAGCTGCCACCTGCAGCCACTGTCAGCAGGCTCAGCTAGCATGGCCCCAGTGTCCTGCTCTCCTCCGCTGCTAGCACAGCAGTGTCCCAGCAGAGCTCAGTCTGGGAACCAGGGGCTATTTCTCGAGTCTGGGAGAGGGCTTCTGCTCTGATTCTTCGTCTAGCAGCTGGGTGGGTGAAATCCGCTGTGGGACTGCTGCAGGGATGGCAGAGGAGGCATTGCCCAAAAGAGAAGGGTAAGGTGGTTACACTAACCTCAGCAAAAGGGTTGCTCTGACCCTGGAAAGGGGCCAGACCCAGGGCCTTCATCTTGATAATGACAGCAAACAAAAGCCCTAGAATGACTGGGATCATATCTGCCTCAGCACTGATTACCTAGGATGGTTTGGGGAACCACCTCTGAAGTTTTCTGAAGGAGATAAGCATCAATCACTGTCCTTCTTGTGTGACCTGCATCTTTGTTCAGTTTCTTTGACTGGCTTTTTGGGAAGAAGAGTAATATAATAAGAAACGTGAAAATGACCATTGCCAGAGAAGCATTTTTTGTGGGAAAGGACAGGGAATGTGGGACACTTGATCAGAGCTTGAGATAAGAACCAGCAGCTGTTGTTGAGGTTAGGCAGAACTGTGGCAGTGGTCTCAGCAGGGGAGGTCATGGCCACTGGTCTAGAGCTGGCTGGGGACTTGCAGGCTCCCAGCTGTGAACAGGCCTCTTCCTGCCCTTCATCCTCTGATGCTTTCCACTGGACAGACAAGAGCTGCTTGTACTGAGGCAGCAAAGTCCCTGAATGTTTATCAAAGGCTGTGACTGGCAGTAAAGACTGAAATGCCCAGAAAAGAGAACTGGAAAGAGGGGAGACTACTGCATGTAGGGCTGTCCTGCCCCTTTTCCCCCTGTCTGTCATGCCTTGCCTTTTCCCTTTAAGGGAAAAGAAGCTGGAAATGTGGGAAGGACTGGATGGATTAATGCAATCTTGAGATTGCAGAAGGAGCTAGCAGGGAAGAATAGAAAGATGCATAGGGTACAAACATCTGATTTTACAGAAAGACTGGAAGGAGGTGACATGGCACAAGGCAAACTTGGTTTTGGTCTCACCAGGTTTTGTCTCACCAGGACAGTAAAGCACACAAAGACCACGAGCAAGTTAAAGGGGAAGTGGCATGTGTGGCCAACAGGTCAGCCCCTTTATCTATGTGTCTTGTTCTTTCAAACTCACTAAAGCAAACACAATGATATCTTTAAGGGGTTTACCTTTAAGGGAAGTTTGCTAGGAAAATACTGGCTGCAAGGCCAGATTCTGCCTATGTCTGGGCTTCAGAGGCAGCTGCTAATAACTGACTCTAAACTGACCTTCATGCTGCCATCTAGTGTTTCCTCAAAGACAGAAACAACATCCCAAAAAAGAAACTGCAGCTCCATAATATAGTATTCAGAACAAAACTGATTTATTCCTGCTGAAATACAATGCTGGACAACACAAAAGCTAAAGGAGAGGGAATGGGAAAGAGACATGGAGAAGCCACTGCTCAAGGTGAATGTTTAGGGAGACACCTCTTTTTTAAAAAATTTGTAACTATTTCATCCAGGAACAGGGAATCATCTCCATGGCAAGATAATTATTCCGAACCAGAATTTTTCCACATTTTTTTCACTTGGTGAAATTAATATGGCCGTTTGCAAGGTGCAACAGTACACAACAAGGCAAGAATCCCAGCAGAAGCTTGTCTTAACCAAGAGACACCAGCACAAGATGTTTGTCAGGTTCTTGTCTGTCCTTGCTACACTCTGAAAAACCCTTAATGGACAGGTTATCTACAGCCATTAGATGATGATTTCCCTTTCAAGTGTACATGATGGCTAACAAAAGGTAACAAATTATTGTGGGGGAAACATGCAGAAGATGTGACTCTTGACCATTTGAAGCCTTATCCCTGGCTTCAAGGTGCTGTAACAGGAGACTTTTTCAACTGCTGCACATCCTGTATTCATATTGAAACTGTAGAACTCTAACCCTTATAATAAGTAAAGAGTTCGTGGGTTGGATGATGCATTTTCAACAGAGCATTTCTTTTCCCCATGCTTCTTTTAGGCGTTTTGAGTCAGGGTCTAAAACAAAGCCAAAGCATCCACAATCACTGCTCTCTTTTGGAAAACTTGATTTCTAAGCTTTGTCTTCTGACAACCTCAGGAGGAAAGTTGCAAGGAAGGAATAAATAATTGGAAAATGGCAAAAGTCTAATTTAAGAAAACACAGTGCCCAGAGGGAAACGCATAATCAGCAGCTTGTATTGTATGATATCAGGGATTAATTTCCTTATTTGCATGAAATTTTCCCATTTATAATAAAATTCTGATACCAACATTTTAACATTATACATTATGAAATGACTGCATGATCTCAGTGCAGTCAGAACATGGCTGGTTTGTGTGCAGAGGAATAGCAGCACAGACAAGAACAAACCAAACTCTTCAAAAAGGAGCAAAAAGGACAGTGTACTTCTCTGCTTACAAATCACCTCTCAGGTCACAATATGGAAGTTGTCTCTTAGGCCTTTCAAAGGTTTAGTCCACGGCACAGAAAGTCCTCAGGTGGACAATGGTGGAGTTCATGTTTCTCATTCATATTCCTGGTTTTTCACTAAGGAGACTACATCCTGGATCCCAGTCCCACCAAACACAGCCTATTGCTGGATTAAGGCATTATTGCTCTTCCTGTCTAGCTGTTGGTACCAGGCTGTTACATCCATGTAGGTTACCTCAAGCTTTTTCCTAACACACCAAAAAGATTACTTTTTAACAGCCTTCCTTTATCCTTAATGGACTTTGAATAGAGTTGTATGCTCTGAATACAGGAATTTTCTTTTCCAAAGGTTGTGTTTAATGCTTATTGCTGTGGAAGTCACATTCTCTCAGTTCCTTGTTATTCTCCTCTCCGTCAAATCATGATGACACTAAGCCAAGATAGATAGGTGAAGGAAAAAAGAAAAAGACACGCTTCAGCTCTTTTCCAAAGTGTTCAGCATTTCTGTGGATTACAGGGGGGCAACAGACTTGCATTTGACAGCTTCATCTTGGAAGAGCTCGTCTGGGAATACCACAGGACAAAGGCTTGAAAACCAAGAACCTGTGTCTGTAAGCAGACTCTTCAGAATCTGCATCATCTTCTTGCTTCCAAAAGTGGCCACACACTTGCTATTGTGGGATACAGGAGCAACAGCCATACGGCTCCAAACACAACCTATGCCCCAGCCAGCACAGAAAGACTGACACTGCAGCTCTGGCTCTGGGGCTCACCAAAACCTGAAGTGAAACAGGGTATTCCTTTCTGAGTGACCACTGCTTTTACTGCATGGGAAAGTAGATGAGGGTTCTGTGGATACAACATAGGCCAAAGCCACAGTAATCAGCACAAAGCTTGTGGGGGGCATGCCATGGTCTCTGCTCTCCAGTCTCCACCAAAAAGTTAAAGTAGACCAATATATTTTTAGCTGTTTTTCTCTAATTTTTAAGATATTTTTTGTGTATATGTTGCAAAAGAAAATTTATCATTTCTTAAGGAACAAATTTTCCCTGCACCCACACAACTTCCTTTCTCTCCCTCCTCCTCTTCCAATGGTAGATTGAACATGCCAATGGAAAGCTTGCACAGCTCTTGGATTAGGGGGATTTTTTTTCTTTTAATCAAGAGGTACAAGTTCAGCTGTTCTTTTCTTCTCAGTTTTGGGGACAGAGATTTTGCCCATCAGGCAAGCTACATAAATAGGAAAGACATTAACATAAAACACCAGTGTGTTGTTTGCCTCATGATTCACTATAACATTTCTCTAGTACTAGGCATGGCTGCCTCCCGAATAAGCAGAGTTAAAACTTTCCTGTAGGTGTCTAAGACCTCTTGGGCAGAGGGCCGTTCTGCCGGGTCCTTCCTCTTACACGCTGCATGGATGTCAAACAGATGCAGTCGTACAATGTCACTTCCTTCAACATGGCCCAAGAAAAAATTGGAGACATCTGGGATTTTCCAGATGTCTGTTTTCTCATCATAAGGAGGCATGAGGTCATCATCGAATGGCACATCTTCTCCATAGGGCCAACGCTGCTCAGGAGCTACAAACTCACCCTGGAGCTCCCTGTGACCACACTTCACCAGCCTGCCAGCACTCCTGTTCACAAGAGGCAGAGCGTCCAAATCATTCACTAGAACATGGAAGTCACTTGTCAGGAGATACTGGGAGAGAACCTTGTCCAGGTCATTGGAGTCACACATCACTAGGGTGCCCAGGGGGCTGCTGTGCAGGTACTGAATGACACTCACGTAGTCTATGGCAAGCATCAGCCTGCGATGCCAGGTGTTCATGGCCTTGTATTTGGGAATGTGGAGAGTTTCATTCAGGCCTCTCAGTGAACCAAGAGGATGGTACTCGGTGAGGATTGTGAACTGCTGCTCACAGTAGCCGAGCAGCCGGACAACATGCTTGC